AAAAATGTCTCGCAATCCGGAAATGACGGGTTCCTCGGATCATTTGAAGCAACTTCTTCCTTTACAAAAATGTTCTCCGAGGCACCGTTAACGAGTTATCAACGAAAAACAGTGACCAATAAGAATCGAGTACGGCTGACGCGAGGCGGCCCAGCCAACCAGCGCGCGAAGCCCAGTTCCGCTCATTGGCTCGATCGCCTCGCGCCAGCCGAGCTCGCCTCTCATTGGTCACTGCTTTTCGTTAATAACTCGTTAACGGTGCCTCGGAGAACATTTTTGTAAAGGAAAAAGTTGCTTCAAATGGCCCGAGGAACCCGCCACTTTCGGATTGCGAGACATTTTTGGGACACCCTGTATATACAGTATCAGACTCTGTACAGTACACATCGGACTCTGCCGTCCAGAGAAATAGCCTCGCGCAGAATTCAGCCGTACCTAAAAGGCTAAACGATCGTTTCCCCGGTAGCTTCGCGGCAGCTACGCGGCAAGCGTTACTTCCTCGCTAATTCGAACAAGGGGGAGACGGTCTTCAAGCTCGCTTTAAGGTGTTCCAGGGTGCGAATTAAGTAAGCGGCGCGAACAACTCCCGGAATCGCGGACAGGACAACGATGTTAAGCGCGAACCATACGGAATAAAGTAAACGGGACGAGTCGCAGGCACTTTGTCGCTTCGAATAACTTCATAAACTAATAATAATCTTAGCTTATTAAACACGGTGGAAACTTAATTACCGAATTCCCGGCCCGCTTTCCAGACGTCTGTCCTCGCGGCGCCGTATAAACTCGGATAGAAGCTACCGCGAACTTTAAATCTCGCAAGTTTATCCCCGTCTTGGCGGAGCAGCAGCATTATTCACGAACGGAGTTGCATTTCTGCGCGTTACGCCGACATCACCTGTCCGGATAAAACGATGCTTTGTGCGGCGAACACGCGCGCACGCAGAGACTAACAAACACGAGCGAACTCGACCAAATGCAATCAAATAGCGTTCTCTAGCGTCTGACGCGTGCGCGATGCACGCACGGACAGTCGCCGATAAACTAACGAGTGCAGTGATTTTTCCCTAAAATGTTCAGAAATCAGAATCGAATCGCGCGGATCTGAGAATACTAAGTCGCGCTAAGACGCGAGTCTTCGAACCTCGAGTTTTTATAGAAGCTCGAGGCATTAAATCGAAGACATTAAGCTACCGAACCGATGGAAATGAGCATAATTGAAAGAATAAAATAAAAGTGACACACAGAGCCAGGTGGATCGTAACGAATGAATTAATCTAATTATATTCGTCATTTGCCAATCGAACGAAGTTTTATTTATTTTTAATTCATATTACGTGTTCCAATTCTTGTTTTCCTCTTTCTGTGACGATGTTATCCAGTTTTTTGTGTATTTCAAAGCTTCCGAATATAATATTTGGAATTTGATGTATCAAAATTATGGTAGTTCCAGGAAACGAGGGGTTCTTGAGGTCATTTCAAGTAACTTTTTCCTTTACAAGAATTTTCTCCGCGGCCTCGTTTACGAGTTATTAACGAAAAACAGTGACCAATGAGACATCAGCTGGCGCGTGGCGGCCAATCAGCGGAACTGAGCTGCGACCGCTCGTCGGCTAGCCCGCCTCGCGCCAGCCGAGCTCGCCTCTTATTGGCCAGAGCTTTTCCGTTAATAACTCGTGAACGATGCCTCGGAGAAAAATTTTGTAAAGGGAAAAGTTGCTTCGAGTGACCTCAGGAACCCCTCGTTTCCCGGAATCGCCATAATTTTGTGACATCCTGCAGATTTGAACTTGAATATAAAGCCTCCAGAGGACGATACATTGTATCGACAAATATTTGTTAATTAAAATACTACGAGGTATTGTCTGAGACGAACCTCTCCGAAGTCGGCGACAGTTTTGGATACGGTCCAGCAACTTTTTCCGAGAAGCCACTTCTTTTCGAGCCACTTCCCGTGCCGCCAACATAGCAGAACCACATGTAAAGTGGGTTACTTTAGATGACATTTGTAATAACGTCACGAATGTCCAGTAACATATTCCCGTGAGTTTAATGAAGAAACGCGGAATGATGAAGTTTGCGAACGGAGAAAAATACAGGGTTTCTCTGCGTCCGGTTCCGGCATTACGCTAAGCACGTTCGCGATGCAGTCGGTGCCACCGACACGGTGGTATATGGTAAACGCAGAGGCCGGTGGGCGCATCTCAATTTGCACAGCGTCGCAGTATTTATTCCGACAACATTTTTAAAAATTACCAAATATGAGATTGGTTGGTCCGGCTGCGCTTGAACTTCCGGCTTTTACGGAGCCGAAATATACCAGCATGCTCATCGTTTCCGCTCGCGGAGTGAGCGGAAATCCAAATATTTAGACCAACCATAATTAAAAACCTTTCCACGGTTCTCTCTGTATTAATACCGTTTTTTAAGCCCTGTGTCTTCTTCGGAGTTTGCGTGTAATATTATTCGTAGCTATTAATATAATTTATCTTTAATTTATATTAATATTTCTTTGCGTTGGGTACAACATATATTTACACTTATGTTGAATAAAATATATATTATATTCTAATATATATATAATAATAATAATAATAATAATAATATATACTTATATTATTATTATTATGTTATTATATATATATTTTTTTTTTATATTACAATTATATTATATTAATATAATTATATAATATATATAATAAATATAATTGTAATATAAAAATATATATATAATAATATATATATTATTATATTATTATATATATATTTTTTTATATTACAATTATATTATATTAATATAATTACGAATTCTTTAAAATTATACATCTAAATGGAAATAATAATAATAATATAATCGAAATACGGGGTACACGTCGCGAAAGATCAAAAAACGTGAGCCAGTTTTAGTGTCAATTGAAAATAACATCATTTTTGCTGAAAGTTACGCAAACATGTTTTTCTTTGCGACTGCAAAAGAAAAAAAGAACGAAACACGGTGTTTTAAATGACATCCGTTGCGAATACGCTGTCAGTTTACGTTCGCTCAAAATATAAAATGCACGAGAAACACGTTTCAATGGATTCAAAAGTTTTTGACACACGTTGTTCCTCTTCCGCGCGTAAAACAAATACGATTCAACGGAGTTAATGGTAACCGTTCTCCGTAGCACGAATAATTAACGTACAGTGCTTTTAACCGTTCGAGTCCCACGGGTCATTTGTGAGAACTATACTAAACGCGCGGACGCGGCATTTTTATTCGCTCGAATCTTCTCGACGGAAATCTGCGAATCGAAAATTTCGAAAAAGAATTTAATTTCGAATCGAAAAAGAATTTAATTTCCGTCCTGCTAGTATTTTTATCACTGCAACCCGGCCGGCAGAATCAGCCGCGCGCCCCCCGTCGAAGATGACGAACGCTAACGGAAGAACTTCTTTTCTGTTTTTTTTCTGTTCCAGAACTCCGAGATATCTCTTTTCGAGACAAACATTCGTTTCATGGGAAGTCTGCTGGCTTGTTACGCTCTCACCGGGGACGTGATGTTCCGGGATAAGGCGGCTCAACTTGGCGAACGGATGTTGCCTGCTTTCCAGACGGAAACCGGAATTCCTCATTCTCTCATCAATCTCCACACCGGGGTAAGTCCGGGATTTCGTAGCTTCGCGACGGTCACGTCGACGACGTCGCCGCGTTTTCATGTTGATTATTTCTCGTGTAATTGTGGCATTCAATTTACATTGCACCAGCGTCCGCGAGAACGCTGCGGATTCATGGACAATGGGGTGCTTACGTATGAGCGACCGGGACAAAAATCATAACCTCTAAGCCAGTCGACCAAAATGCCTCGATAATTTGTCAATGAAAATGCGAAAAAATTCGTTAAATCAGTACGAAAACCTTTACGCTTTTATTTTTTATCGAATTGAAACTTTTATACGGATTTTCGTTGACGCAATTTATTGTTAGTCGGATATTAACAATTAATAATATAATATAATATATAATATAATAAAATATATATAATATATACAAGGTGTCCCAAAAATGTCTCGCAATCCGAAAGTAGGAGATTCCTGAGGTGATTTGAAGCAACTTTTTCCTTAGCGAAAATGCAATCCGCGGCTTCGTTTACTAGTTGTTAACGAAAAACAGTGACCAATCAGAGGCGAGATCATTTGGCGCGAGACGGCCGAGCCAATGAGCAGAAACTGGGCTCCGTGCGCTCGTTGGCTGGACCGCCGCGCGTCAGCCGAGCTCGCCTCTTATTGGTCACTGTATTTCGTTAATATCTCGCAAACGAAGCCTCGGAGAAAATTTTCGCTAAGGAAAAAGTTGCTTCAAATGACCTCAGGAACCTCCCATTTCCGGATTGCGAGACATTTTCGGGACACCCTGTATTATAATGTATAATATATTGTATATAATATTATATATAATTTATAATATATACAATATAAATATAATATAATAAATATAATATAATTTATCATTTTTCGGGTTTGAGGCCGATTATGGCTGCACATTTCGTGAAATAACTCTGAAGCCCGCAACTTTTCGCAAAAAGACTGTACATAATATCAAAACATAGCATCCGATGAATATATCAGAACAAGAATCGCGGAATATTTCGAGCCTTTTTTTATTCAAACCTTATCTCCGAAGTGTAAAAAAAAAAGATAAGTCGAACTGAATTTAATTTAATTTTGCGTCGATTATTACATCGTGTACGTAAGAGTATTCTAACATTTCTATAAATCAATTACAATCGCATAATCCCTGGCAATCATTTTCTACAAGGATTACTTCGTGACGCGGTCTTTTTCGTTCCTACGACAACGTTAAACAAGCCGCGTCGCGAGCTAACGTAATTTAAAACGCATTCATGGAAATGTAGATTTGCATGGAGTCACGCAGTTTAGTTTTAAACGTCGGTTTAAATAACAGTTTCCGTGGAACAATTGCAACATAAGCATTACGGAAAAGTTCTTCCCGTCGGAAACATGAAAATATTCAAATCGCGTATAAGCTGCGAGAACGGGGACGAAGAAGCGGCAGTAGTTTTTATGCCGCGGTGAAATTCCTTCCTTTTTTTTTCATCTTGTTGCCGGTAATGCATATGCCCGCGGCACCGTAAAAAGGACCGGAAAGATCTACGGAGAAGGCAGTAAACTCTCCCGGGCGGTTTTTCTGCGCACATTAGAAACGCGAGAACGGCGTTGTAGTCGCCGGTTAATTTGAAACGATTCCGTCAAGCCACCTCCATAGAAGCGACGAGTTGCGATTAATATGCAAATTCTTAATTGAACGAACAATGAGGCCGCGGAATCTAGGCCCGATCACTAGCCTGTTTTTTATCTCTTTTATTTTACGTTCGTCTTCTCTTCTCAATCGCTTCTCCGTCCATTTCAGTCTCGTACGCTCGTGGAAGAATTTGTTTCTCATTATACAGTAATGTCTCCCTAATTGACGCTCAGATTGTCCACAAAGATGGACAATTTGGAAAGTGGAGCCTTGTGAATTCGAGCCTTGCGACTCGTTTTTATAGTTACCGATTTTCAACAATTATAAAAGCGAGCTGCGAGGCTCGAACAATCGTGTCTCCTCTTCCCAAATTGTCCATTTTTCTGCGCAATCTAAGCGTCAATTAGGGAGACATTACTGTAATTCGTATATTCTGACCTTGAATGACCATAATTTATAGGACATTGTATTCGTCTTGAAAGACTCTATCGGAGCGTGAGTTTTCTTTGCAATTAGACCTGTCAAAAATTTGTGACGATCTAATTTAATGTTTTAAATGAAATCATACATTTTTTAATTTCTCTGTTATATAAAGAATATAATATAATTATATGTACGTTTCGTGTCGCATCGTTTTCTTCTTTTATTCATTACCACAAATTAATCAGAGTCGAATATCTTTCGAATTATCTTTCAGGCTACCGATTTTCAACAATTATAAAAACGAGCTGCGAGGCTCGAACAATCGTATCTCCTCTTCCCAAATTGTCCATTTTTCTTGCGCAATTTAAGCGTCAATTAGGGAGACATTATTGTAATTCGTATATTCTGACCTTGAATGACCATAATTTATAGGACATTGTATTCGTCTTGAAAGACTCTATCGGAGCGTGAGTTTTCTTTGCAATTAGACCTGTCAAAAATTTGTGACGATCTAATTTAATGTTTTAAATGAAATCATGCATTTTTTAATTTCTCTGTTATATAATAAAGAATATAATATAATTATATGTACGTTTCGTGTCGCATCGTTTTCTTCTTTTATTCATTACCACAAATTAATCAGAGTCGAATATCTTTCGAATTATCTTTCAGGCTACCGATTTTCAACAATTATAAAAACGAGCTGCGAGGCTCGAACAATCGTTTCTCCTCTTCCCAAATTGTCCATTTTTCTGCGCGATCTAAGCGTCAATCAGGGAGACATTACTGTAATTCGTATATTCTGACCTTGAATGACCATAATTTATAGGACATTGTATTCGTCTTGAAAGACTCTATCGGAGCGTGAGTTTTCTTTGCAATTAGACCTGTCAAAAAAATTTGTCACGATAAAATTTAATGTTTTAAATGAAATCATGCATTTTTTAATTCATCTGTTATATAAAGAATATAATATAATTATATGTACGTTTCGTGTCGCATCGTTTTCTTCTTTTATTCATTACCACAAATTAATCAGAGTCGAATATCTTTCGAATTATCTTTCAGGCTACCGATTTTCAACAATTATAAAAACGAGCTGCGAGGCTCGAACAATCGTTTCTCCTCTTCCCAAATTGTCCATTTTTCTGCGCGATCTAAGCGTCAATCAGGGAGACATTACTGTAATTCGTATATTCTGACCTTGAATGACCATAATTTATAGGACATTGTATTCGTCTTGAAAGACTCTATCGGAGAGTGAATTTTCTTTGCAATTAGTCCTGTCAAAAATTTGTGACGATCTAATTTAATGTTTTAAATGAAATCATGCATTTTTTAATTTCTCTGTTATATAATAAAGAATATAATATAATTATATGTACGTTTCGTGTCGCATCGTTTTCTTTTTTTATTCATTACCAAATTAATCGGAGTCGAATGTGTTTCGAATTATCTTTCAGGCTAGCAAAAATTACGGCTGGGCGAGCAGTGGTTGCAGTATATTGTCAGAAATTGGCACGATGCATCTGGAATTCAATTATCTCAGCGATATCACCGGCAATCCAGTTTACAAGAGCAAAGTGGAGAACGTTAGGAAAGTGCTGAAGAACCTGGAGAAACCGAAAGGACTTTATCCGAATTATATACATCCGAGGACCGGAAAATGGGGGCAACGTAAGTCGTTTTTTAATAAATAAAAAATACTATTCGTGTTTTCCTACCTCTCGACGGTGTATACTTTTCGATTATGAACACTTATGAGAACAGGAACATAACGACAAACGTAACAACTTCAGTATAGCATAGTTTGTAGAAAAATATTTAATACTTATTTTTTTATATAGTTTTATATATATTATATTACGTATTAAATTATATATATATATATATATATTAATATATATTATATAATTATATATATATAATTTAATTTAATATATATAAAATATAATGATATATATATATATATATATATATATATATATATATATATATATATATATCATTATTTCGATTCATTGATTAAAGAAAACTGATCACCCCTTTCCGGGTGTTAACACAATTATTGGACATCCTGTATACCTTGTTTCATAAATTCTTAAATCGTCTATAGCAATTTGTGCGTATGACAATTCGTTGAAAATCGGTTCAGTTCAGCTGTGGAAAATCTTTGACAAAATAGAAGCGGTAGAACTTAAGGGTTGTTCGTTAAAATAAATTACATTTTTAGAAAATTCCCAAGGTTATTATGACTCTTTTGTACAACATATACTTTTAAGTTTCACTATATTTAATTGTAATTACAGTTGTCGTTGGTGTACAACAGGTATCACCGTAACCTGAATCTAGTATCACATTGCGTTCTCAGTAATGTTGCTATACTTCTTCTTCCAATAATCGATCCTGTCTTGCAATAAATTCTTCTCCATTTTTAATTCTCTGTCGATACGAAGGTAATCATGCTCTTCTGTAGTAGGCTCCCAATTTACAGTAATGTCTTCATCCATGTTAGAAGTTGGATTTCTGAAAGGATCGATCAATTTTTGTTTAGTTCATTTACAACAAAATATATGAAAAATGGAGTGACAAAACACTCGCAAAAAATTAGATTAGATATTGAATTAGATCTTGTGTTATATAAGTTCTAAGTTTTATTAGAAGTTACTTCTAATTATTATACTGTCATTCTATTTTTCTAATTATTATTCTATTATTCTAATTATTATTCTATTATTCTATATTACTCTCTATTATTCTAATTATTATTCTATTATTCTATATTATTCTATTATTCTCTATATTACTCTATTATTATTCTATTATTCTATATTACTCTATTATTCTATATTATTCTATTATTCTATATTACTCTATTATTCTATATTATTCTATTATTCTATATTACTCTATTATTCTATATTATTCTATTATTCTATATTACTCTCTATTATTCTGTATTATATTCTATTATTCTATATTATTCTATTATTCTATATTACTCTATTATTCTATATTACTCTATTATTCTATATTATTTTATTATTCTATATTACTCTATTATTCTATATTATTCTATTTCTAATTATTATTCTATTATAAATTCTTAATATTTCATATTACTGACTTATCTTTGGCAAAATTCGTCCACAATTTAGTCATAATGTTTGTCATCTTCTCTGCGGAAGAGCCTGGTTCCGGTAGATTCTTAAAGGCGCCGGAGTAAAATAGATAGCCCATTTCATCACCGTGTACAACTCCTAAGAACACGATCGTTAATCCATTTGATCGAAAGACACGAGACTTGCTACTTACGCTTTCGAAAGGGAAGTTACATCGACGAAACTGTTACAATTGTTTCGAACAGTAAGCGTAATCTCTGAGATTGCAAGATAACAACCGCGTTGCGAAAGAAACAACTCACCGTCCGTAATGCCGGATAAATGTTTCATAAATCCAAACGGCGCCTCGTAGTTAAACTGATATAAATAAATTGGCGCTGAACTCTTAGCTTTGATCAAATCCAGCGCTAGAATTTCTCCCGCGTTGAAGAACGTATCGCCTATCATCTGCGACACGCGAACCATATTAATACGCGTGAAGAAAAAGATCAGCCGACGAGTCGAAAGATTGTGCTTAACTATATGCAGTATTATATATATATAATATAATATAATATAATATAATATAATATAATATAATATAATATATATATATATATATATATATATATATTATTTGTATATATTATTTATTATTATTATATATTAGTATTATATTATATATATATATATATATATATTTATATATATATATATATATATATATATATATATATGCAGTACTATATATTAGGTCTACCGGAAAGTTCTGTCCGATAATGTCAGTTCAAGTTTCAATCCATATGCACATGTTGATTCGAGACATATATGACTATCTCTCTTTATCATTGCATTTACATACATGTACTCTCCTAAATAAACTGAAACAAAGATGTCTCGTGTCATTATTAAGTGAGACGCTATCGTGAAAACATGGCTACCGATGAAAATGCCAGACCACATGCTGCTTCGGCGACTCGTCAGAAAATCGCAGAGCTAGGCTGGGAAATTCTGTCGCATCCACCATACTCCCCAGACCTAGCACCCTCCGATTATCACTTGTTTCTCTCTTTGCAAAACTTTTTACAGGAAAAAAAATTCAAAACCGAAGCTGATGTCGACCAAGCACTAGTCGAGTTCTTCGCCTCTAAAAATAAATCATTTTTTAAAAATGGCATTTACAAGTTGCCATCACGCTGGCAAGAAGTCGTAAGTAACGATGGAAAGTATATTCTGCAATAAATATTATTAAATGTATGAAAATTGTGTTATATTTCAATTCGAAAACGGGCAGAACTTTCCGGTAGACCTAATATAATAAGTGCTATATTACCTTAGTGAAATCGTTCATATCCTCTTTCGTTACTTGCTTGTCCCCAAAGTAGAATTTCTTCAGACATTGGCCGTGCATTGTCTTCATTTCTGGATCGGTGATGTTCAAATCGTCCGGCAGGAACAATTCTGGCTCGGTGTTCAATAATTCGATATGGTTCAGCATATCTGTATAACGAATTAAATAGAAATTCAATATTAAATGATACAATTATAGCAAATATCTTTCGTTAGATACAGATGCGTAGCAAAAGAAACGGTATTAACGATATTATAAACGAATTAAATAGAAATTCAATTTTAATCGATACGATTATAGCAAATATCTTTCGTTAGACACAGATACGTAGCAAAAGAAACGGTATTAACGATGTTATAAACGAATTAAAGAGAAATTCAATTTTAATTGATGCAATTATAGCAAATATCTTTCGTTAAATACAGATACATAGCAAAAGAAACGGTGTTAACGATATCATAAACAAATTAAAGAGAAATTCAATTTTAATCGATACGATTATAGCAAATATCTTTCGTTAGATACAGATGCGTAGCAAAAGAAACTAACTAACTAATTTCGTTCGCCCAACGAAACAAATTCACGCTGCCAAAACTTTGACCGTAACAAATGATATATAATAATATAATAAACAAAATGCATGAAGCACCAGTAACATATCTCTCGAGCAATCGACTGTTAACGTAACCCATTCAACCGGCAAATTCCTTTACATTTCAATAAAATTTTGAACTGGATTATTAACTACCCAAAGAGCAACGCATTCGTTTTACCGACAATTGAATATTAAGAGTTAATGATAATTTCCAAGTAGCAATCCTGAAGGTTATTCAACGTATGTATGTACAAGAGAGAAAGGAGAGCAAAAGACGTCATTAAACTAGATCCGTGTTAGATTTCGCTTAAAATATTACTGCGGCATCTGCATTAATCCTGTAAGCTCGAAATTAATAAATTACATTAAATTAGAGAGTATTACGTTTCGCGAGAGCACACACTGTAATAAGCAAATTCTCGTTCGTGATAATACATTGAAAGTCGGATGAAATTACTGACGATGGAAATAACGCGGCAATTATTAGCGTTCGCATCTGTTTTTTAAGATGCGTGCGTCGACTTTTAGCCATCCCATCATGGAGGATAAATACGATCGTCGTGCATACTTTGTGCAAACTGTATTCCTTCGTCGACAACAACTCCTGTCATTAAAGGCACGTCCGCAACTTGTCCGTTTTTCAGTAAAGTCCACGGATCGTTCGACAGAAATATGTCTTGGCCTAAATCAGCTTCGATGGAAGGAACGAATGCGTAGAGATGCCCGTTTAGACCATTCTGCAATTATGAACCAGTAAAACGTGTTTATTTTGCACATCTTTCCGCACATATTTATGATAGAGCACTTTCTAGTATGCGGTATCTAGCATCCAATATAGTGATACAGTGACTCTATATATTACAGTGATATTATAATAACTGTATACGTATAGCAAACGGTTTGTAAACTTTACCAAGCTCTTCGTTACTTCGCCAGAGGCTGCGATGATATCTTTATCGTCATATTATATATCTTACATATAATATAAAAAAATATATATATAAAATATATATATAAAATAAAACCATATTATGATATCTTTATGATCATATTATACGTGGCACAGCATCCAATATAGTGATATAGTGACTCTATACAGGGTGTCCCAAAAATGTCTCGCAAAACGAAAGTGGCGGGTTCCTCAGGTCATTTGAAGCAACTTTTTCCTCTACAAAAATTTTGTCCGAGGCACCATTAACGAGTTATTAACGAAAAACAGTGACCAATGAGAGGCGAGCTCGGCTGGCGTCAGCTGTACTCGATTCTTATTGGTCACTGTTTTTCGTTAATAACTCGTTAACGGTGCCTCGAAGAAAATTTTTGTAAAGGAAGAAGCTGCTTCAAATGATCTGAGGAACCCGCCAGTTCCTTTCCATTTAATTTTTATATTATTAATATATTAATTATATATAATTAATATATTAGTTACATATTATTATTACTACTATTCTAACTATATATAGCTATATATAGTTATTTATAGTTAATATATTAGTTATATATAACTATTATCACTATTATAACTACATATAGCTATATATAGTTATTTATAGTTAATATATTAGTTATATATAACTATTATCACTATTATAACTACATATAGCTATATATAGTTATTTATAGTTAATATATTAGTTATATATAACTATTATCACTATTATAACTACATATAGCTATATATAGTTATTTATAGTTAATATATTAGTTATATATAACTATTACTACTATTATAACTATATATAGTTAATTAATATATTAATAATATAATATATTATATTATTTTAAATTATAATTTTTAATTATCACCTTGTTCAAGTCAAATGTATTATTATTATTATTATTATTACTTATTATTTTCTTGTGTATTTTCATACGGATTACCATATTTCTATAAATAATTGCAATCAATTCAAAAGCATTCGCGGCTCACCATTTCTCTATTGCAAGACATTTTTGGGACACCCTGTATATTATAGCGATATTATAATGACTGTAAACGTATAGCAAACGGTTTGCAAACTTTACCAAGCTCTTCGTTACTTCACCAGAGGCTGCGATGATATCTTTAACGTGGAACTCGGAGAGTTTTTGCACCAACTCCGCCGAATCCGTTGTTTTAATGCCAAGAGCTTCTCCTAGCATAAACGCGAGCTCTCGCGGATTGCTTTGCAGTGCCCACGGATTGGCCATCGAGCCGCTCTGTTCAATGACACCGTTGAATAACCCTAGAGAAATTTTTGAAACGGTAACGATTCGATGGCAACTGGAAAACTGCTTGTACACGTACTTGAAAATCTTGCGCGTTTATGTACTCTATACAGTATCAAGTGCTGCAGTAAAGCTTAGGGTTACCTTCAGACATGGGAGAGAACATGTGATATTGAACAGAAGCTGCACCAGAGCTCGCGCCGAAAATGGTAACCCTGTTCGGACAACCGCCGAAGAAATGTATGTTATCTTTCACCCATTTCAACGCCAATACCTGATCCTTCATGCCAGCATTTCCGGGGGCAGCTTTATCTGCTGTATTCAAGTATCCTGAAACAAGTGGATCGCCATTAGCTCGGGGAGTTTAATTACGGCTGACCACTCGTTCCCCAAAATTATTTTTTCCCCAATTCTTTCTCTACTTCCAATTGTTGATTTTAATCAGTTGTTTGCTCCTGTTTTCTTTCCGTGAAACAAACGTAAATCGTACAACTGTTTGTAATGTCTCATCAAATTTTTGTTATATATTGTCCAGTAAACCAGACCCTCCAACGTCGCAAAAGAATTCGAGACATTTGGCCCAATTTTCAAAGAATTACAGTAATGTCTCCCTTATTGGCGCTTAGATTGTCCACAAAAATGGACAATTTGGGAAGAGGAGATACGATTGTTCGAGCCTTGTAGCTCGTTTTTTATAGTTTGTCGACAATTCGTAACTATAAAAATGTACCGCAAGGCTCGAATAATCGTATCTCCTCCTTCCAAGTTGTCCATTTTCGTGCACAATCTGAGCGTCAATTAGGGAGACATTACTATATAAGGCGCACAGAATAGTTACGAAAAGAAAGGGAACGAATGGAAACGAACGAACGAGCAGAGTTCGTAAACCAAGTCCAATTCCTAGTCGCGAAGCCGACTAATAAATAATGATTAAGTAAACGAAGCATTTACCAAGAGCACCGAGCCTAAAGTTAACGGTAACAACTATCACATCCTGCTCGACCAAAAAGTCTGGGCCAAAAAGCATGTCGTCGCCAGTGCCACTGTTCCATGAGCCAGGGAAAAACCACACCATAACGGCTTTGCGAGCCTCTTTGTCCAATACCGGAGTGTAAACATTCAGGTAGAGACAGTCCTCTTCGCCAATAAGCCCTTTCTTCATCATGCAGTAGAATGGACAAGTGCCACGATGCTGGGTGGCATCGTACACGCCTTCCCACGGATTGGCTGGCTCCGCTATCTGCAAATTTTAGACGTATTTCTATCAGTTCAATGATTCATTTTGACGCTTCTGTGGCGTTATTAATTATTATATTATTAATATATTAATTATATATAGTTAATATATTAGTTATATATAACTATTACTACTATTATAACTATATTTATATATATATGGTTAATATTATATTATATTATATATATTATATTATATAATATTATATTATATTATATTATATTATATATAACTACTACTACTATTATAACTATATATATAGTTAATATATTAGTTATATATAACTATCACTACTATTATAACTATATATAGTTAATATATTAGTTATATATAACTATCACTACTATTAAAACTATATATAGTTATATATGATTAATTAATATATTAATAATATAATATATATATTATATTATTTTAAATTATAATTTTTAATTATCACCTTGTTCAAGTCAAATGTATTATTATTATTACTATTACTTATTACTTTCCTGTATATTTTCATACGGATTACCATATTTCTGTAAATAATTACAAATAATTTAAAAGCATTAGCGGCACGTTTTTATAGCAATAATCGTCGACAATCGGCGACTATAAAAACGAACCGCGAATGCTTTTAAATTTATTGTAATTATTTAAAGAAATATATGGTAATCCAAATCGTCCAGGTACAAGAATATTTACTTTTTACAATTATTCTTAATTCAGTAGCTTATAAAAGTATTCGAACATTATACGGAATAATTTATTTAAAATCGGACCAAATTATCAGATCTTTTTAAATGTTGGAGAAACTAGTTTTCTGGGCAATATCTAAAAGTTTTTCTCAGAAATACTAGTTTATCGGGATAATGAAGAGAATATAAAAATATTAAGAAACCGTGAGTTCTTTGTTCTTTAAAATTATTTAAAGATTGTCTAGTCGTTGCTTAGTAAACCAGATTCAACATCTGAATTCGAGTCATTCGATGTATCGAATCAAATGTATTTCACGATGTTCGCAATTTATTTTACAATTTATTTCACAATAATGTACATCAACTATAAACGTTAACGTTAAAAGTATCTCTAAAAGCTCGAATATCTCGTGGTTAGGAATAGAATAAGAGGCGAACAACAACGCCGGGCAAACAACACTTTTTACTCACGCGAAACTTGTTAGGACCGACATTCGGTTCCGCGTAAGGTATGCCTTTGAAGCTGTAGTAGCCCTTACTGTGGAGAATCGTCTCCGTTTTCAACCCCTTCAGGATCCCTTGAGGTATCTCCAACTGAACGTCCTGGTCCGCGTATACACGAACCAACACCAGCCCACAAAGCAACCACTTGTCCAGCCACATGTCGAAGCACTGATACGTGGAATTGTCGTTAGATATCTGTGACGTTGCTTTTATGCGAGGAGAACATCCTGTCCGTGATCGGTCATAAGTGCTTCATAAAGGACAGCCGGCGGAAAAATAGATTATTACGTAAGCGTTCCAGCGAACGAATGCGCGCGAGCATAAACACGGATTAGCCGGCGCAATCACAATGAACGATGATTTTGGGATATCATTTGCCATCGAATTGTTGGAATACTGAAGAATGCTTCCGGCAGAAGCATTGAATAATGCATAACAGTCAACCGGCGAATAAGTATTTGCATTATTAAGCTAAATTATGGTGTATTATATTACTGGTGTATTATTCGCGTTCGCATGCGTTTGTTCGCGAACGTTCAAATTGCAAAGTAGACGTCGATAGGTCGAAACACGGATTCCAGACTTCGACGCTCCAGTCCTGCAGTTGCAATTTTAAACTTTTAGGTACGGCTGAATTCTGCGTGAGGCTATTTCTCTGGACGGCAGAGTCCGATGTGTACTGTACAGAGTCTGATACTGTATATACAGGGTGTCCCAAGAATGTCTCGCAATCCGAAAGTGGCGGGTTCCTCGGGCCATTTGAAGCAACTTTTTCCTTTACAAAAATTTTCTCCGAGGCACCGTTAACGAGTTATCAACGAAAAACAGTGACCAATGAGAGGCGAGCTCGGCTGGCGCGAGGCGATCGAGCCAATGAGCGGAACTGGGCTTCGCGCGCTGGTTGGCTGGGCCGCCTCGCGTCAGCCGTACTCGATTCTTATTGGTCACTGTTTTTCGTTAATAACTCGTTAACGGTGCCTCTGAGAACATTTTTGTAAAGGAAGAAGTTGCTTCAAATGATTCGAGGAACCCGCCATTTCCGGATTGCAAGACATTTTTGGGATACTCTGTAGACTGTTGTAAATTGATGCGAAGACAAAAGAAGTGTGAAACAATGCATATGAAGACGATTATTTGGTTCGAACGATGAGCGAGTGAGCTACTAGAGCAAGCCACTATAGTGGCGCGTCGTCTAGAGAGATGACATCCACGAAAACCACTATAGTGGCGTGTCGTTTTGAAAGATGACATCCGCGAAAGCCACTATAGTGGCGCGTCGTGCCTAAAAGGTTAACATCGTTTAAACAGTTAGCCGCGGCGCCTTCTTTTCAGAGAGCGCGCGCGTTCATACGTGTCGCAAGAATCGAGCGTTTTTTAATTTATTTATCGACTTTTGATATTCGAAAGCTTATGGAAACGTCGAGTCCCATGAGATACTCGTAACGGCGGCTGTGGTGAACGCCGATTCGAAAGGCATTTGTATTTTGGTAATTAACACATTGACGCGCCGGAAACGTCTGAAAATATTTCACAGAATTGAAGTATTTTGATCGATTGAATTAAACCTGCAAAACAAAGTTATACGACATCGATCACTGTTTCAATATTATTGATCAAATTAAAATCTTGATAAAATGAAGACACTTTTATGGATCAGCTTAGAAATTAAATTTTAAATCATTTCGTCACCCGCGACGGTCGAAGTATTAATAATTAACTAATCATTTTGGCTCGCAGTAATGGATACGTAACCGCAGTAATACATGCACGCGTTTGGTTTCTTTATATTACGCTTTTTAATGAAATTTGTGCTTTCAGAGATCCAA